TGCCTATGGGTAAGTTACGTGAACTCCGGGTAAGTTCTGAAAATTGTAGGACAGTTCCATGTATATCCAAACTGTGAGAGCTTCACCCAAGTAACAATTCTGGTTTTATGAGGGTTCTGTAGTGTATTTAGACTTGTAGAATGCTATAAAACCTGAATAAAACTTGCAATGTTGCTTGGGCAGGGACGTTCCTTGAGCTTCAGGTTAGTTTCGAGAACTTTATGGCAGTTCCATTTATTTCAGTAAAATAGAGGGAACTATCAAGACAATTTAAGGGTAGTCCAAAAACTTCAGGGAATGAATTTAAAAAAATTAAAAAAGCTACGCAGAAGTTCCAAGTTTAAAGGGAAGATCCTCTGGGCAGTTCCACTAATTTCTGGATAATTCCAGGAAGATCATCAGGAGCATAGCGAGAACATTAGGCAAGTTCCGGAAGGAAACATTAGAGATCTTCACGAGAGTCTGAGGAATGAAAGGAAATACTGAGAATTTCAGGGAAGCGTTAGGAATTTCAAAGTGGATCCAATAGCTTCAGGAAACATCAGGAACTTTTATGAAAATCTATCAAATTCAGGGATATCCAGACAACTTTAGGAAAACCAAAAGAATTTCATATATGTGGAAATGTGGAGATAACTTGAAGAAAATTGACATTCCAAGTACCGTAAAACGGGGTAACATTGATAGTTTTTTAAAGTATATTCTAAATAATATTTACAGCAATGAATGTTCTTTTCAAATTTTATATTTTTAAAACAAGTACTGAGGATCCAAGAGTCAGTTCGTCAGTAATATGTTTAAAGAAAATTAAAGCATTTGTACTATTTTTTTAGTTTTGTGACCGAACTTCAGTTTTTTTATTTGGGGTTATTTTGATAATGCTCGATGAATATAGAAAAATATGGTTGAGGCTCAAACAATTTAGTTCTTTGAATATGAAACTTTGAATGAGTATATAATCAGAAAACATCATAAGCCATAAGAATATCACATTGAATTTGTGATGGATATATCGGAAATACATTTCATAAGTGATGGTTTGAGTGCTTTTTCAAACAGGCGAAAAACACGAAAATTGTTTTTTAATATGTTTGTAAAATATGTCACACATACAATATCAACGGAAATACTCTAAGCTACAATATGGAACCAACGTTTCTAATTTGGAAAAAAAAGCGCAACGAGTAAATTTAATCTTTACATTATACTATCAAAGTTACCCGCATTATCAAAGATACCCCGTTTTACGGTATCTCAAAGAAGTGAGACTATAGAGTTTTAGAGAATTTCAGAGATATTAACGGTACTTCCAATAACTTCATAACTTCGAGAAATTCAAGAATGTTCAAACATTGAGGGAAGTTAAAGGTTTGTAAGGGTATGTTCCTATGAATTCCGGTCAATTCGATAAACTTCGAGAATGTTTTTAAGAAGATTCGAAAATTTTAAGGAAGTTCAGAAAACGTAATAAAACTTCTGAAATATTTCGGGAACTTCAATGAACATTAAAGGTTTTAAAGACAGTTCTATTTAGTTCAGGGTAGTACCAAGAACTTCAATAGAATTGAGAGAACTTCAGGAATGCTTCGAGAGCATTAGACAGATCCAGAGAAACTAAGGGCAGTTCAACTAATTTCAAGAAAGTTGAAGCAATGTTTAAGAAGTAGGATGTAAATAATGCACTATGAACTAAATCCACCCAAATTTTCATTAAATTCTACCCAACGGTTAAAAAGTTAGAGCAATTTCATAGTGTGGCAATTTCATCGTGGACACCCTTTAGGATTGTACAGGCATAGCAAAGCAAACATCTGATATGCTATAAGCAATAAGCTTGAAATGCCATGTAGTAGTAGGGACGTTGCGATACTGCTGATATCAGTAAAGTATCGATACTTTTATTTCGATACAAAGTAATTAAGTATCGATACTTGACAATCGATACTTCTCCAATATCGATACTTTTATCGTGGTATCGCGGTATCGGTATCGAATCGGATGGAAAAACAAGTAACTTGATTTCGGTATATGCGTAAGTTGTGATAAGCGTGTAGACGCATATTTTTTACACTGGGGCTATTAAATGACTGACAGTTCAAAGAAACGCTGGCAACACCAGAAATGCGTTGACGTTGACGGCACCGTTGCTTCTCGCGCGTATTGACAGTTCTTTTAGGAGGACATGAAGTCAGCGCTGTATCAGCAGGCTAGGATACATATGGTCAGCATGGCAACTTCTGTTCCATGCGAGCGACTCTTTTCAAAGGCTGGATCTATAATTACTGAGACCAGAAACCGATTGTCAGCAAAATATTTACAGAAACTAATATTTCTAGCAAGCGTCGATGATACTGAATGGTTCAATTAGTTGGTTTAAATGCTTTTGTTTTTAATAAAATGATACAAACTGTTCGTTATTGATCTTAAACATGGACTTTCAATTTAAATTCAATCACATTGCTTTTTTATCAAATGATTCGATACTTAAAAGTATCGATACTTTGTTTCGATAGTATCGCAAATATCAGTATCAGTTATTCGATACTAGTATCGAATCAAGTATCGATACTTTTAAGTATCGCAACGTCCCTATGTAGTAGTAATACAAATTGTATTTATAGCAATGAAAACAGTTTTTTTTCTGACGTGAATTAGTATTTGAAGTCGCGGATTTGTTTTGAGAAATCGCGTAACAGCCCTGCCAATGAGATCAACACAAATTTGAGTTCAATTAACTCAAACTGCAAAAAGTGCAGGAACTTAGCGATGAGTTACTTTGCCTGGTTTTTCAGGGAAAAATCCCGAATATGAGTATTGGGATTCTCTCAGTCTATTGGTAGGGTTAACTACCCCATTTCCGGCCTATTAAGCACAACCCGCACTTTGTCTTTCTTAATCTAGCGTAGTTTAGCACTAAACGGAATGTTATTATTACTGATGGCTTCCAAATTTATTTACCTTTCCGTACGTATCGTAAGATTTGCTAAAGAGAAACCAATCGTTGAGATATCGTCAAAAGTCTAACACTGCTTCTTGACGCCAAACTCGGCCTACGGATTCTAAACTCGGCCTAACGCATTGAAACGCCATCGAAACGCCAGTGAATTCACTTCGACCTATCGGAGAAAGATAAAAAATTGATTCGGTCGGAGCGCTTCTTTTGTTTTTGGGAATAATGGGTGCAAACCTTCATACAACGCGTTCTCATTGACTTCGTTCGGTAGTTTATTAACTAAAGTATCGTACCAAACGCATAATTGACTTGTTAACCCTGAAATCATGGATTTATTTGAAGTTTTCTGCTCGATAGACCCAAAATGGGCGATTAGGCCGAAGTAGTTCTCTACCCTACTACTCCTAGACAGAGTAAAATTTTCGTCAATTTTTCTCATTTTTTTTTCAGGGAAACATAAAGCAAATTTACACATCGCTGAGTTCCTGTACTTTTTGCGATTATGAGTAAACTGAACTCATAGTGTTAAGTACTCTATTCTGAAGTCTGTGAAAGGGAATGTAGATGCCGTAGAAGAAAACTGCCAATGTAACACTCATCATTTATAGCATTAAGAAAAATCATCCAATGTAACATATCCGAAGTACAACTTTACTAGTCAAAACATTTTATGTGATTTTTTTTATATTGTAGCACGTAATTCAAAATGAAAGTGCGATTTTACCATTCTAAGGTAAGCTCATATGTTCAGACTACGGAGTTATAACACCGACGAAGTTATAATATGTTACAAGGCTACCGTGATGACGTTTTCCTTTTCGATAATTATTATAGCACCATTGTAACATCAGTGCTAACATTTGAAAACGGCACAAAAGCCATTTGTAAACAAATGGTTTGTGGGCCCTTTACTCACTACTTGAAGTACACCCACGCGACACAACAGCAACATCGGGTAGGGGAAATTTTCCCCTTCATGACGATGCTGTTGGTTTGCGTGGGCGTTCTTCGGGTAGCGAGTAAAGGGCCCACAAACCATTTGTTTACAAATGGCTTTTGCGCCGTTTTCAAATGTTAGCACTGACATGTTACAGCTCTGTAGTCTGAACAAGGCATTAGAGTGTGAAAGAGTATTCAGATCACTCATAATAGAGCTTTTTGACGTTTAACCGGCGCACACTACTGCACAATTGAAATCGAACGAGTGCGAGCAAGAGAGAAACAGATTAGTGGGAAAACAAACCGTTCATTCATCCATGTGTGCTAGATAGAGGAAGACGTTTAAACGTCAAAAAGGTCTATAGAGTGAAACACGTCTTTAGCAGTTCATCAGGTACAACGCGAAATGTAGACAAAGTTAGAATTTCATGAACAACGAAAGAACACCATCGACTGAAAGTTAAGTCACGCTACTTGCTAATCACTGTCGAAACATCTAATCACCAGAGAAACACTACATTATCAAATTCTGCGCCCATGGTTTAGTTAGCAGGTAACATTTTTTGTATCACCATACAGCGGGCGTTATTTTGATCAAGATATGTATACACAGGTGATGCAGCTTCGACCGAGTGAGGGGATTGTAGGTAGAGTGGGAAGGAAAAGTGCAGTCAATGACTTAAATATGTGTAAACATGCACGAGTTCTGATTGTTTCGTGTCTGCTGACGAATCTCGCTAAAGTTTTATAAGAAAACTGTGGAATTGTAGTCAAAAAGCACAATCAAAGCTTATAGTGGAAGTTGTTCAAAATCAAACTCATTCGAGAGGAGTTCAAAACCCCAACATGGCAGCATCACACCTATCGAAACACACTTTGGTTCTGATTTACAATTTAAATATCATCTAAATCCAAAATATCCTTTAAATTTAAGTTATATAACTTCTGTCTTTTATATGAAATCCATGTTCGTCTATGTAAGTTTGATTGCATATTTAAGTGTACTCCGAAATTTCTGATGTGCCTACCTCATTGAATGAATTCACGTTTGCTCCGTCAGTTGAGGTGAGTTAAGTAGTTTCCTAGCTATAGGGTGTTTTGCTGAGCTATGGTAAGTATGCATACAGTCGGTGGGAGCCTTTGAACAGCCTGTTAAACCTTAACAAGTGTACAATTTAATATCTACAATAAAGCAAACAAACTATTCCACCTTATAACAGTTTACCATTCTTTTTACTTCTATTCCCTACAGATAATTTGAAAAAAACAATATCTGAAAATCCACCCGTGTACGCTCATTGATTGATTGAACAACCATTATAAACAATACAAAAAACATTCCAAAACTAACAGTCAAACGTCGCAGTCTCGCACTCAAGTCTCAAGATCCAGTGCGCCTGTGTGAAAAGTGTGTGTGTGTGTTATTCGCCGGTGGGGTACCTTTGGTCGTTGCTAAACTATCGGTTCAGAACCCGACTGCTATCCGGTTCTGGTCCGCACTAGAGTTAGCACAGTTTGCGTATCCCCCCGCTGCCATCCCTCCGCTGCTCAGTATAACGAGAAGTGAGTTTCGAAAGTGAAGTGCCAAGGAACAGTGTTCTGGTGCCGCCGCATGTGAAGGACCAATACAAGAGGAACGCACCCCTTCAAATTGGTTGACGGTAGGAGATACAAGCAGTGCTGCCATCTGGTGTTGCTGGTGAGGAATAATGGATGAGGATTGCAATCCCTTTGATATCAACGATGGAAAAAATCAAGCGAGAAGCAAGGTAATTATCGTTCAAATAACTGAGTTTTGATCACATCGATCACGCATTTTCTTTCTTTTGTTTGCATATTTTGAGAAACGGAAGCCGGCGGCTGACGGTGGATGGTAAGTCCCCGAGTCGGGGAGGTGCGGATGGCGCTCATCTTAATGTGGAAAAAAAATAAGAATAGTGACGGTTTATTTTTTGTTGCGTTCATAGGTGAAAATGTTCGGTGGTTCTCTGTTACCTTTGTCAACGAAAATTCTGCAGTGAGTTCGAAGCGTGATAAGTGGAACAGTGCAGTGAAAAGAAGTGATTAGATAGATATGTCTGCAATTGTGACGGGATTATTTGGTGCAGTGTAGGAAGCTATTTCTAACCAGAACTTCTTTCTTCTTCCGTTCCTTTTCGCAGACTGAGCTTGATGTCGAGAAGCATCTACTCGGTACAACGGTCAAGCTTTCCGATGGCACGAACGGGCGGGTCTTCAGCCGTAATGGACGAAACAAGGAAAACCTTCTCATCTACTCATGCCACCTCTGTGGGGTGGCCAATCTGTCGGGAGAGCGCATCCTGCAGACGCATATCGCTGGTAGGAAGCATCAAACCCGATTGAACATGCCGATGATTGATGCCGATCAGTTCCGTAGCGCATCGACCCCGAAGGTCGCCAAGGGTAAGCTCCCATTTTTGTCTGGTTGAAGCGTCTAATTTATCAGTCTGTTTGTGTTAGTTCAAATGCATATTGCACCTGGTGAGCCGGTTCCACCCGGTATGGAGAATGAAGTGAAACCCGTGGCGGAACTTCAGGCCACTATCGATCGATTCAAGGATGGACCGATGGTGGGGCTGGAGTACATCATGGAGCTTAGCACCCCAGGGTCGAAGGAACCAAGCTACCACTGCGTGCTGTGCGATAAGAAAGGTGACCCGCGAACCATTGTGGTTCATATCACTAGCTATATTCATCGTATGAAGTTTTTGGTAGGTTGCAATTGTTAGTCTTTTGTCGGAATTAGATTGATCAGGGTTCTTTTACCCGTAGGAAAAACATTACCCAACCGTGATCAACGAGCTGGCACCGTACCGTGGACAACGAGGTGGCACCAAGGAGATCATCAATCGCGCAATCCAAACCGTTTGCGAAGCGATCGAAGACCATCACGGTCGGTTGACGCCGAACGTGCACGATAGTGCGGATTATGCTCGTAACAAGATGAAGTACCTGCAGGAGGTACTCTTCGACAAGCACTTTGACGAACGTACGGGACCGAAGTTTGTCGAAGTGATCGACAAGAAGATGCTGCAGGAACAGATGGCCGTAGCGAATGGCACCTTGGTAGCTGAATTGACACGGGATCCCTCGCCGCCGGTTGTCCAAGCTCCGCAGAAGAAGACACGCCCAGCACGAGCCGACCGCAAGAGCCTGGACTCGATATCCAGCATGGACTCGGTGCAGAGCATTTCGTCCGAGTGAGTATTGGTGTTCAATAGTTTGAAAACCTGTTCCGGACTTGCTGGACGTTTACGATTTGCTTACAATGGACATGCTTTACCCTTGTTCCAGACATGACGGAACCTCTTTTTCGACTCGCCGGAAGCACGCTCCGGCCTCGTTGGAAGCTCGTTCCGGATCAACTAGAATGTTGTATGTATACTGAAATATTGTTCCGGACTTGTCCGGAACTTGTGCTGGATTTAATTTTTGTTCTGTACTCGATAAAACCTCGCTTTCAACTTGTCGGAATTTCATTTTTGCCCGTTCACAATCTTACCATGCGTTACATTTGTTTGAAATTTGTTCTAGATTTATCAGAAGCTTATTCCGGGCTTACTGATATCTTGAACATAGAAATACTGCTCTAGGCATGGTCAGGCCGATGCATCAATTTGGACTTCCAGACTTGCCGAGGCCATGTTCTGAACTTGCCGAAGCTTCATTCTAGGCTTGTTCGAAACAATACGGGTCGGACTTTCCGGAACCTCATTCCAGAGTTCGGAGTTTCGTTCCAAAATTGATATTTCAGACAGTGCGGAATGTCGTTTCGCTCTTTCCAGAATGTATCTGTTTCTAGTTCCGGACATACTGGAATGCCGTTCCGGAATTAACAAAACCACTTTCTGGATCTGACGAGATCTCGTTCTGGACTTGCTGGAATTTTGTTGTGGGCTTACCAGAACGTTTTTTCCGGAACATGGATTTGAAGATACCTCGTGCCGTATTTGTCTGAATCTGGTTTCGGACTTGAAGAAGGATCCACCGGCTTGTCCCGGACTTGCTAAAACCGTATTTCAGATTTGGATTAATCATTTTTTTTATCAAGTTCGTTTATTTGGAAGGCTCAATCGCGTTACCTTTACGGAGCCGATAATTCAATGTTGATTGTTTAAACAAAATTCACTTCTTTGGTTTATTCTTATTTTGAACTGAACGGAACCTGTCCTAATCCTACCTACTAATATGCAGGAAGTACGTTTTAGACTTTTAAAACATGTGGGCACTTGTAAGCTTAAATGGAAGGGAAAGGAAGTTATAGTTTAACCCATCCTCTACTCCAGCCCAGAAACTTGAGGCAAATATAAAAATGTCTTTTTTATACAAAATGTGGGTAAGTACAGAATGCAATTAAATTGGAGCGATGTTTGCTATGCACCACTTTTCGTTCAATCCTATTGTATAAAAATTATCGATGAAAAATTCGTGAAATCGTGAAGATTTTGGAATGACGATTTTCTGTATTTAAATCATTGTAACAAGCACGTCGTGGAATTATGTAAGTCGAATAAATTTCGATTATGAACTTCGGTAAATCTAAAAAAAAATATCCATAAAGTCTTAACTAGATTTACCAATTCCCTCCAAAAGTTTCTTCCGATTTCTCCGGAAGTTTTTTTTTTCAACTTATTCAAGAAATATTTCACCCAGCTGCTCCAGGAAGTATCACTCGACTTCTCCAGATTTTTTTCCAACTGTCTCCGATTTCTTCTGACTTCTGTCACGAGTTTCTTCTATCAACATCCAAAAGTTTCTTCTGATTCCCGTTAAAAGGTTCTCCAGACAACCTCCGGATTTTTTTTGACTTACTCCGGAAGATTCTTTCAACTTATCCTGATTTTTTTTGTATTCCTCTGAAAGTATCATAAAACTTGTCCCGAAATTTTGTACTGAGGTGCCTTGGAATTTTCCTCTCAACTAACTCCCATCTTTCCGCGGGAGCTTGTTCCAGTTTTATTAGGATGTTGTTATATGACTTCCACTGGAAGGTTCTTTTTACTTCGTTTGTAAGATTCTTCTGACTTCCACCGGAAGATTCTTGTTTATTCTGGTATTGTTTTCCAGACTTGCTCTGAAAGTTTCTTCTGGCTGACATCGGACAATTCTAACGGTTTCTCCTGGAAGTTCCTTCCGAGTTCTCCCAGAAGTCCTGCTGAAGTTTCTTCCGACTTTCCCCGGAAATTTCTTCCGTTTTGGATGGTTGAATGAATTCTCTGGAAGTTCTTAGCTACCTCGCCAAAAAGCTTCCGTCAGCTTCCACTGGAAATTTCCTTAAATTTATTGGTAATTCTTCACAGAGTAAAATTCCCAGGAATAGTATTATTCCGACAAAAATATATTTGGTTTTTGGTGAAATTTCCGGAAATTGATTCCCAGGATAGTATTTCAATAAAACAAAGATTTTTTTTAACTCGGCATCCGACTGGGATTTATCATCAAACATTTCGGAACTTGAAAAATACCTTTTGCATGTACCGGAAACCACAACTTTATTTCAAATAAGCCGAATCGTTCTACACTTGTTAGATAATCGTTCCGGACTTGAACAAGCCTCATTCTGGATCTTCCGGATTGCGGTCACCTCGTTTCGAACTTACCGGAAGCTCATTTCGATTTCACATTTTTTGGAACCTCATTCAGGACTTGCCGGAATCTAGTAGCAGGTTTGCTGGAACCTTGTTCCGAAACTTCTACTTGTTGCAGACAGTGGCGTCGCCTTAACCTCAATCTACCTGTGCACCAACTCTCAAAACATAAACAATTATCAAAATATTGCTTGCAATGGATAGATATCGAGTTAATTAGAAGATTAAGTGTATTTTTCAACCGATTCGACTATGAATATGGCATTAAATCTGTTTTTGAAAGTTGGTGCACAGGTAAAAAGTGAGGTTACGCGACGCCACTGGTTGCAGATTTACCGTAGCCTAATCCCGAAAGTTGGAATCTCACCCCACACTCGTCATAGCGTTCCTGATTTGTCGAAAACGCATTCCCTTTTGATTGAATCTTGAAGGAACTTGCTCTAAACTAGCCAACTTCGTTCCAGACTTGCGGAAACTTCATTCCAGACCCGCGACCGGAACTTTGTTTTTGACTTAGCGGAACCTCGTTCCAGACTTACCGGAACCACGTTCTGGACTTGATGAATCCTTGTTGTTCCGAACTTACCAGAACTATGTTTCGGACTTTTCCCATATTTGCCCGAATATTATTTTGGAGTTGTCACCTCGAATTAAAACAAAAATCTGCCGCCTATGTTTACCGAAACTCATGTCCACGACTTCTTCGAACCTCAGTTTGCTTGTATGAAAGCAGTCGTTTCGACTTGGTCCCACTTTAAAAACCCTATCCCTCATATCGAATTCCTGTTCAGATCTTAACGAAATTTAGCGGAAGCTTCATTCCGGTTTACCGGGCCCTCGTTTTGAACTTTTCGGGATCTGCTAGACCCTTTTGCATACTCAATGGAATCTACTTCTCTTTCCGGACAGCTGGAACCTTAATTCCAACGATCCAAACCTTCATCCCGCTTCAAAGTTGACTCAATATCACTAATGAAATCACCGTTGCATTTTTTTTCCACCCCACAGCGACACGAATGGAAACGCCCGCTCCGGAGTTCCACGTACTCTTTCCAACCGACCTTCCGGCCCGGGAGGTAGCACCGCAAACCCTCGCTCTCGTCCGGCGCATTACTCACCGCCGCGGGATCGTCGCCCCGCTAGAAGTCCCGAATGGCGCCGAAGTCCGGCCCGTCGAAGCCCGAACCGGCGCCGTGCTCCGGTGCCATTCCGACGCAGTCCGGATCGTGGACGTTTCGGTCGTCACAGCCGCAGTCCACCACCGCGACGCCGATCCCGTAGTCCTCCGGCACGGAAGCGTGGATCGCGTAGCCCGGTGAGACGTCGCAGCCCCATAGGTCGGCATGATCGATCTCCGATGCGGTTCGGTGGCGACAGGAAGTCCCGGTCGCCGGAACCGGAGAAACGCAAAGCCCTGCCGACGCCGAAACAGCTGGCATTGCAAGCTTCGGAGATTGCTCACGAGCGCTACAAGTGGGAAAAGTATCGCTGCTCGTTGGAGATTGCCGTTGCCCAGCTGGAAAAAGCCTTCAAAGAGCATGAAAAAAATCCGGAGAAACATCCAATGTACCCGGAAGAGTGGAAAAAGTTCTGGAACCGACGGTACAAGGAACTTCAAGCGGAAAAGAAGGATCCATCGAAGCATGACTTCAAACCGGAGTGGATCGGCTTTTGGACGAAGCGGATGAAGGAGCTGCATGATGAGGATATTGACAAGAAAAAAGCGGAAATCAAGAAAAAGCTAAACCTGCCCGACGAGGAATCCGAGAAAATCAAGGAACTGAGGGAGCAGTATACCGTGAAGGTGAGCAAGAAGAAGCGTTCGGTAGAGCCGATCGAGTCGAGTGATGATGATAAAATTAGTGTGAAGTCAAAGACATCAGCTAGGCCGAAGAATGTCCGTGTCAAAAGATCGAGGAGTCCGATCAGTGCGGATGATTTTGAAGAGAGATCACGTCATAGCAGCAGCAGACATTACAGTAGAGACCGTGATCGCGAACGGGAGAGGGCTCATTACAAAATGGCTTCTTATTTGCAAGAACAACAAGATTACGACGAATGGGCTAGAAGCTATTATGGTCCGAATAAGACTGTCTTTGTACGTACCGAGTTCGACGCAGAAGACACCAGTCCACTCAATTTCGTTGCTGTTTGTCGCCTGTTGACTGCCTTGGAGGAATACCTAGGTAGTTTAGGTCCTAAGGTGATCGATCTGCTTTCGAAGGCACTGGCTCTAGAGAAAGTTAAAGCCAATTCGGCAGATGAGTTGCTGCTAAACGAAGATAATTGTATGTTCCTGGAAACGGTGAAAGAGAAGCTCAAAGGTCATTTGATGGCGGATATGGTAGAACCGCAAAAGATCCCTCCGGTTAAGAAAGCGATCAAGAACATTGCCAGCTTAATTCACGAAGCGTCCAAGAAGGAAAAGAAAGAACCGGAGTCAGACCGCACGTCATGTTCCGTGGCGGTTGCGACGGCAGCGGCTGGTGGAATTGACAAAGCTGCCATTGCACAGAAGTTGGCCGCTGCTTTGGTGGCGCAAGGCAAGACCGACTTTACCAGCGAAGAACTGGAGGAGTTGATCAATGTGTACGTTGCCATGGCGGAAGCTTCCAAGGAAAAGGATAAGCCCGTAACGACTAGCAGCTTCCTCAACGAAGTCATTCCAGCCAAGAGTGAGCCTGAGAAAAGACCGGAAAGCTCGTCTCGTCGTTCAGAAGAAGCTCCAGACGATGGAAACGCATTAGAAGGCTTGACGGATTCGGATTTGCAGACTTTGCTCCAGAACTTCAAAGATCTCTCCAACGAGGAACAATTGCATTTAATTTCCCATCTCAAGAAGCTTGAGAAAACCGATCCAGTGCGGGTGGAGAAATTGAGGAGGTACGTCAACTTAGATGACAAACCATCGAGTAGTCGGGCACGGGATGAGTACTACGATGATGAGGGAGATCGAAACTACGGTGACGACAATCAGCATTACAATGATGATGATGGTGGTGGTGGTGACAATTTCGATGACGATAGGCAGGACTACAACAATGGAGCAAATCAGACTAGCAAACCGGGCAACCCAATCAAGCCGCTAGTGTCTGGAAGCTATGGCGGAGACTCGCCGGATCCGTACGCTAAAAAGAAGCTGATCGATTCGGAAGATGAAGACGACTACAGCTACGATGATGTGGTTCGAGCCGCTTCCAAGAATGTAATCGTTCCGCCAACGAACAGCAACAGCAACAGCATGCAAGGGCCAACCCATCGGGCTGACTTCACCAGCGATAACTACGATGGTAATTCCAACTTTTCTCGGGCAAGTAACGAGCACGGTACCCAAATGGATACTCAAAACATCATCGCAAACTTGATGGGTTCCCTGCCTGGGAAGTCCTCCTCTGCGCAGAGTCAAGGCAACTACAGCAATCCTATCTCTACTATTGGTCAATCGGAAAACCCACGTCCGAATCCAAACTTCTACGACAGCTCGAATCCTTCGTACGGCAGCAATCCGTACACTGGAGGAGGAGGTGGCGGTCCGAACCAACCGCCCGGTGGTCCCCCCGGTGGACCTTACATGAACCAGCAAAACCGCCCGCAATTCGCTCCAATCCAGACGGCCAACACCAGCGTCAACAGTATGCCCTACTACTACCAACAGCAGATGCGTGCTCAGCAACCACAGATGAATCCACGGATGCCCCAACAACAGATGAATAATTTCGCTGGAGGCCCACCGCCACCTCGACCGCCGATGCAGAACACTTTCCCCTGGCAGCAGAATTCCGGCCAACGACAACCGAGCGCAGCTGAACCGTACCAGTACGGAAACAACTACTACTAGGGGAAAGACAAGGATTCCGGTGACTTTACATTGAATTGTATGTAGAATTAGGCACTATATCGCTTGAAGGTAAATATTTTAAGATGAACAGATTATGTTCCAGCTGAAATGAGAACTAAAGGACATCCTCCCTCACTATTATTATAGTTGTATGGAAAAGAGTTTTGGGTTTACTGAGATATCACACTCCCTCTTATATTATCAGGATATTGGATTTGGGCTTCACCATCACTGTTCGAACGAAAATCTTCCTCGTCAACAGGAAACAGAAAGCATTCAGTAAGGTAAGTGTCTCTTGTTGTGCAATTGGTGAAGTGAAAATCATTTTTTTTTATAAGCGATTGTACAATCTTGGACTACAGTTTGGATGCAGATATCCAGTGATGGAAAAGTTCATCAAATTCCCTATGACTCGCGAACTTTTCCCTTGGTGAACTTCGTGAAATATCGCGAACTTTTCCAACACTGCAGATATCAATCTGGCAATTCAGTGTGAAATAGTTGGGGTTGGAAGTAATAACGGTTTCAGTAGATGGTTAAAGTGAGAGTTTAATACATATATCGTAATATCGCAATAGAAACGATGCACGTCACCCATGTTAATAGTAAAATTTAAAAAAAAATCCAAACACCTCCTTACTATCTCGGACCTTATGCATAAGGCCAACGGAGTACAGTGGCATCTATAAATAGCTTTTCAGGCTTCCATACCTTATGTGTTCAGCACGAACTTCAACCACGCAACTTCGAAGTCGTAGCACTGCAGGAACTTTCCTGGACGGGACAAAAGGTATGGAAAAGCGGGCATCGAGCGGCTCCTTTCTATCAGAGCTGTGACACCAACGAGCTGGGAACCGACTTTGTAGTGCTGGGTAAGATGCGCCAACGCGTGATTGGTTTACAGCCGATCAACGCGAGGATGTGCAAGTTGAGGTTTAAAGGCCGTTTCTTCAACTACAACATCATCAACGTGCACTGCCCACACGAAGGGAGACCCGACGACGAGAAAGAAGCGTTCTATGCGCAGCTGGAGCAGGTGTACGATGGCTGTTCGCAACGGGACGTCAAAATCGTCATTGGCGACGTGAATGTTCAGGTAGGACGGAAGGCAATGTATATACCGGCAATAGGACCAAACAGCCTGCATGTCGTATCGAACGACAACGGCCAACGATCCGTAAACTTTGCAGCCTCTCGGGGAATGGTAGTTCGAAGTACCTTTTTCCCCGCAAGGATATCCACAAAGCCACCTGGAGATCACCTGACCAACACACAGAAAACCAAATCGATCACGTTCTAATCGACGGGAAATTCTTCTCCGACAATATCACGTACCGCAGTGCGAATATAGATTCGGGCCACTACCTAGTTGCAGTATGCATGCGCTCAAAACTCTCGACGGTGCATAACATCCGTCGAAGTCGAACGCCGCGACCCAACATTGAGCAACTACGGGACGCCGGAGTTGCCCAGGACTACGCGCAGCAGCTGTAAGTTGCACTACCCACGGAAGAGCAGCTTGGCGCAGCTTCTCTTGAAGATGACTGGAGGGACATCCGCTCCGCCATAGGTAGTACTGCTGCAGCGGCACTAGGTACTGCAGTCCCGGACCGAAGAAATGACTGGTTTGACGGCGAATGCAAACTGTTAGTAGAGGAGAAGAACGCAGCACGGGGGAGAATGCTGCAACACCGCACGAAATTGAATGTGGAGCGATATAGACAAGCGCGGAACAGACAAAACTCGGTTTTCCGAAGGAAGAAGCGTCAGCTGGAAGACCGAGATCGCGAGGTGATGGAAAACCTGTACCGCGTAAACGACACACGGAAGTTCTACGAGAACCTAAATAGTTCGCGCAAAGGCTACGTGCCGCAAGCCGATATGTGCAAGGACTTGGACGGTAATCTTCTCACGAACGAGTGTGAGGTGATTGAGAGGTGGAAGCAGTACTATCAACAATCAATACGAAACTAACGATTTTAAATTGGCTCACTTCTTGACTAGCCTATTGGTCCCAAGCAAATCGACTGACGTACCCCATTCTAGTATGAATTCCAGTACTACACTATGTTTGTTTTGATTCGCTATCAAAGTTTGACAGATAAAATGAGGGGTTAGTGGATTTTCCTATGTTTCGAGGGGTGAATCGACTAGCTTGGGACCGAAGATAGTATCAGAACTGAGTCAAAAAGTTGAGCTCGTTTCTTCGGGACCTTCTGGTCTTAGAGTTACCTCTATGGTACTATGACGAGCACCTCAACGGTGAAGCAGCAGAAAAACGAAGGTGGCACGGCTACATACCTTGGAGCACACGCAGAAGACGATAGGCTACCGGCCCCTGATCTTCAAGAAGTTGAGGAGGAGATCGGTCGGCTGAAGAGCAACAAAGCAACTGGTGTAGATCAACTGCCAAGTGAGCTATTAAAATATGGTGGTGAAGCACTGGCTAGAGCGCTGCACTGGGTAATTGCTAAGATTTGGGAGGAGGAGATATTACCGGAGGAGTGGATGGAAGGTGTCGTATGCCCAATCTACAAAAAGGGCGACAAGTTGGATTGCTGCAACTACCACGCGATCCCAAATTCTATGCCGCCGCCTGTCACCATTTGCAAGAGAGTTCGTGGGGCAATACCAGGTGGGGTTCATGGGTGCCCGCGCTACCACGGACCAAATTTTCGCGATTCGGCAGGTTCTGCAGAAATGCCGCGAATACAACGTGCCCACACATCATTTGTTCATCGATTTCAAATCCGCATACGACACAATCGGTCGAAATCAGATATGGTAGATTATGCATGAGTACGGATTTACGGATAAACTGACACGATTCGTGCGTTGCGAATGATGTGCGTTGTTGGAGTATCGGGGAAACTCTCGAGTCCCTTTGAATCTCGACGGGGGTTACGGCAAGGTGATGGACTTTCGTGTCTGCTATTCAACATCGCGTTAGAAGGTGTGATCAGAAGAGCAGGGATAGACACGAGTGGCACGATCTTCAGGAAGTCCATCCAGATTCTTGGTTTCGCCGATTACATCGACATCATGGCATGGAACTTTGAGACGATGGCAAAAACGTACATCAGACTGAAGCTAGGCGGTTTGGACTTTCCATCAACGCATCAAAGACAAAATACATGAAAGGAAGAGGTTCTAGGGAAGACAATGTTAGCCTCCCATCCCGAGTTCAGATTGACGGTGACGAAATCGAGGTGGTCGATGAGTTCGTGTATTTAGGCTCACTGGTGACCGCCGAAAATGATACCAGCAGAGAAATTCAAAGACGCATTATGGCAGGGAATCGTGCCTACTTTGGACTCCGGAGGACGCTCCGGTAGAATAAAATTCGCCGCCGCACGAAGTTGACTGTCTACAAGACGCCGTGGTCCTCTACGGCCACGAAACCTGGACTATGCTCGTGGAGGACCAACGCGCCCGCCCTTGGTGTTTTCGAACGCATGGTATTGCATACCATCTACGGTGGAGTGCAGATGAATGACGGAACGTGCATGAGGCGAATGAACCACGAATTGCACCAGCTGCCATCCATCAATGCAAAAATTGAGTGACTACGATGGGCTGGGCACGTCGTAAGAATGCCACACGACGACCCAGTGAAAATGGTTCTCGAAAGCGACCCAACAGGAACAAGAAGAGGCGCGCAGCGGGCAAGGTGGATCGACCAAGTGGAAGGCAACCTGCGGACCCTTCGCAGACTACGAGGCTGGCGAAGTTTGGCCATGGATCGAGTAGAGTGGAGACGACTTCTTCGGACAGCAGAGGACAACAAGGCCTTAGCCTGATTGGTGAGGTAAGTATGGTATTTGTAGTTAAGATACTTAAACAAAATCTCTGATATGATGATTTACTGTAGCCGCTAATTTGTTTTCTTACTAAAAGTAATTTGAAGTTGATGTAGAAGTCCTGTGTTGCCAAATAAAAGGGAAGTAAATCTTTCGAAAACTGTGATGCGAGTTCTACTATTTTTATCTTGATGTGACTTATACACAGACTCTAGCTAAGAGAAGAGGTGACAATACGGGGGCGAAAATGAACCACTTTTCTGTCAAACGTGAACCAGCTCCTGATTGGTCGGTTTCATGTGTGTAAGATAAAGATAGAGATAGAGATAGAAATAAAAGAAGAAGAAGCCAATTGTCACCTCTTCCTCTTAGGACTCTAGTATTTTGAAACTAATATTCTGCCCCACAACAACTAAGCAGCACGAGACTCCTTGAACTGAGTCTCAGAGTCGGCGCACTACTGGGAAAACTGGAGGGGCTACGAGGACTAAAAGGTACTCAAGCTTTCAAATGAACTGAAACACAGCGCGGATCAACTTAAACGCTGTATTTTTTTTTCAGTTAAGGATAGTGTGGATTGTGTGGTGTTGTGATCGATTTTCTGGCACATATCCTTGACGACGATGGTGACTACGACGACTGCAGTCCAGCGCGCGCCCCCTGCGGTTCCAGAATGATTCTGTCGATGGCGGACGATGAAAGGCCGATCTTGTCGGCAAGATGGTGGTACCACCGCTCGATGAAACTCCGGTAATGGCGGGGCTGGTATAGCGGTTTGTGGAGATGCACAGGCACTTCCTTCAGACGAAGCCGGTCAACGACGACCGAGAAGGCAAATCCTCCTTGGCGTTCAGGGCCTTCAGCCCGAGAACGACGTCCTTTACGTTTAGGTAAAGGTAACTAAATTCCACCTAGACCGTAGCGTGCAATGACGGTCCTTGACTCGCCAACCAGATAGCGATTTGAATGGTTGAAAAAAGTCCTAGCGAGGAGGTTACATCCATTAGTGCCGTTCTTAGACCAATTTCGAGGAAGTCTTAGACTTTACCTGAATCAGCTGAATTGGTGATTTATACTTCACCTTGATTCACTACTTGCTCTTAGTATTCTGTTAAAATATACTCCACATGCACAGCAAAAAAAAATGTAATATCGATCAATGTAATTCAAGCTGATGTATGAAATAATGATGTAATAGCAAAAAGCAGATATAATATTACATCAATGGATGTAATTTTGTTCGCAAAATCGATGTACATCGTACAACGTTATATTTCACAACCGATGGATTGACCTGGTTGCAGCAGTTTGGATGTAATATTCAACAACTTTTTTTTTGTGCAGACACTTCTGGTCTACACGCTCGCCTGATATAAAGTGAACGATGGCCGTGCCGTTCTTTAAGCATCGCAGAACCCTTCAGCTCATCACCCGTGACTCCGTGTCACCATTTTGCCGCGGCCATGCACGCCTTATTCAGCGTGGCTGTATCGTCTGCCTAGTGGGTGTGGGCGCAAGTGTTATACAACTTTAGTTGAATGTGGTTGAATGCTCGATCACATGGTGCATATTTAAAACATTGTATTGGACCTTTGTAACAGAACGGTTACAATTTTCTAGAAATCCTAAGTGATGAGTGGAGAGATATTAACATTTTGAGCCTAATGAATTGTCAAAATCCGAGCTTCCTATTTCCTAATTCCTATTAGAATTTTCGAATGGTTTCTTATCCCTACTAGATTATATTTGAGAGTATTGTAATCAAATAGAAATTCAATCACATTTATTTTTCGTGTGCTTCTCAAATTCAACCCGAGATTCTAACTCTATTGATTAATTGTTGGTTAATTAATGGCACCAAGAAATGTGTAACATATTGCGATGCTCTCAATTATTATTTAGCCCGTAAATCGAATCGAAAAGAAAGTCACATGAAATGCTAGCTTTTAGCAAGGGTTGCAAGATAATTCTAGATAGAGCTGGAATTAGGGCGTAACAGCTTCTGTAAACAATGATTTCTCTCGATGATTTCTAGAAAGTCAAGGCTCGTCCACGCAAATCAACATCACCGTCGGATAGGAGAAGACTTCCCCTATCTGATGGTTATGTTGGTTTGCGTGGGCGTGCCGTGAATTCCTAGAAATCATCGAGCGAAGTCATTGTTTACAGAAGCTGTTACGCCTAATTCCAGCTCTATCTAGAATTAACATACAAAAAACCCTGCAGCCGAATTGTATTTTGATTTCTCTACTCATCGCTCCCTTTGAGTATTTTTAGTATTTACTACTCGAATTGTGGTAAACTAGAACATTACTCGAATTGTAGTAAACTAGAACTTTGCTCGAATTGTAGTAAACTAGAACGAGCGAAGCCCCCAGCATAGCATATTGAATATTATCCCTTGAACATTTTTATTCGCCCACAATTGATATATTTACCCCTTTATTTCGAACGCTTCAAGCTCCGTTCCGACTAGGCGGGCACTTCGGTACTGTTGCGCAAAACTCACCCACACCATTACGGATTCTGGCGAGCTTTCGCATCGTTTTGCACACGCACTTCTCGAACTTCGATCGACCGACGACCAACCGTGCACCGTAAACTTCGGCCGAGACTTCGGATCGGTCACCTGCGGGCTTCGATTGTGTTGGTAAATCATTGATGTGTAGCTGTTGTTTGCGTACGTGTGTAGCGAGCGGTCGTTCAGCACACTTCGTGTCGATTCTTTCGGGTCTCTTCTACTTGTCTCCAGTGATGCCACATAACAGATTTCATTTCATTATTCAGATTTTTCTCATTATTTTGATCGAATCGATCATCGCAGTTAGGCTCTTATGATTTAGAACGCAAGAAATATTACGGTATTATCATCGATAATCTTGAATGGACTTCACTCAAAAAATTTATCACATATCTAATGGATGAAATACATGTGAATTTCACATAGCTTTCCTACACGGATAGAAATCTCCTTATACTTTTTGGCAAATTTCTATTGCTGATTATTCATAAAATATATAAGTCAACTAATAAGCTGACGCCTTGCACAAAGTTAATGAAGATCATGTGTCAAATGAAATGTATAAGCGGTCACACATACCTTTTATGCATTCTTATAGGACCTATGTGGTTTGTCTTATGGAATGCATAAGGCTGATGTTTTGGCAAAAATGTATAAGTGAAACACTTAGATAAAATAATTGATTTTCGTTTCGTGTATGATCACATAGCAGCAAATCCCGCCACAAAATCACATGAATATTACGGGGCCGATGAAATTCATGTGAAAAATCACCTAAAGTTAATGTGATCGCATAAATTTTATGTGAAATTCAGATGAATTCCATTGAATTTGATTATGGATGAAAATCATGTGCGTTTCCAATGGAAGCTACATGAAAACTATTTTCGGTGTTATGTTGTTCTGACTTGTACGATGGTTAATTCAAGATTTTTTTTTCGGTGAAAATACATGTTTGAAATTAGCAAAAAATATATTCGGCAACACTGCTTGTCTTGTGCTGTGTAGAGCGAGCTGCAGTAAAAGCTCTATCCAAAGTTTTTCATTCAGTTTTCTTTCAACCGTCGTCGTTCGAGGTTATTGCGATTCGGAGTCTGTTTTGAATTCGTGGAACCCGTGCGTCCGATTGTTTTTGTGCCGATTTTGGGTTCTTGTTGTTCCTGGAAGTTTGGACATTTCTGCGATTGGACGATAAGACCATTGTTGTGAATCCCGTAGTGACATTGTAATTTTTCCGAACAATTTTCGTCAGTGCGTGCTCGTCTGGATTGGAAAATTTCTTCGTGAGAAAGTTGCTTGTATCGAATCTAGACAAAAAAAAAACACTGTTTGGTGTTGTGTTGAAAATTCATGTGTACTAGGTTGAACTAAAGCCGAGTTTGTTTACGCAGGTGAATATCAATTTTAGAAGAAAAAAATGTTTTCAGTGAAATAAAAAAACGTTGCATGTTTAAAACAATACAAGTTTGACAGTGAATCCGATGTGAATGACAGCTGATGTTTTGGATTTCGCTTGACAAACGCAAGGTGGTTGACATACATAAGAACGGACTGGAGATGATGATGACGATCATCATCATTCGCATGCATATTAAAAGCGTATTATTGTGCTTATGCCTCTGAATGAATAGGTTGCGCATGTTTGGATTTGGTTGCGAGAGGCTTGCTTGAATACATGCATTATGAGTGAATAGAGTTGTGACAAAACATCGATCAAGTGAATGCCTGTGCAATGGAAATTACCTATAATAGAAATTTTCTAAGAATATGTAATAAAAGAGCGGTAACTGTGATGAGGGCAGTGTTTTAAAAATGAACGCTATTGCAGAAGACTATTTTGATTGTTAGGTGATTTGAAATATAGCCTGGGTTTGGGTTTCAGATAGGTGAGACGGGAGACGGTCGGTTCGTTTCCCGATCCGGTATAGAAAATCTCTCGTGTTGGAAAATGTGTCGTCTTCCTGGCCATCGAGTATGATCCAGCTTGCCACACAATATACAAATTCAGGCATTGACTGGCATAGAAATCTTTCAAATAATAACTGTGAAAGGGCTTCACAAAACACTAAAGCTACGATTTCTACATTTTCTTTGAATGTGACAGACTTTTTAAGCATTTCTGTATGGTGTTTTCACAGTTAAGGGCAGAGAAAACTCGGTAGGCCGTGATCACATTGACACATCTGCTAATTTGACAGATTGATGGTTTACAGTGAACGGAAGAGCGATTAAAGTTTATAGAATTTGTTTCCAATTTAAGTCATAGAATATCGGTAAGTGTAATGTTCGATAATTACGCTTGGCAGTTTTTGGCTCACTTTTGTTCTTACAACCAAATGCTTTCTGATCCAAATCGAACACTGAAAATAAAAACGTAAACAAACTGCCGAATGCTAAAATATATGCGACGGGGCAAATTCTGCAGAACAGTTGCCGAAACAGACAAATTTGTCTGTATAGTCACCAGGAATTTGTCAACAGACCATAAACACACTGTTCCAGATAATCTGTACGCTTTGGCTGTACACAGTTCAACAGTCGCAGATATTTTGACTGTCTGCAAACAACTGTTGATCGATTACATTTGAAGCCAGATAAACTGTGCCGATTTGTAAAAAGAAACTGGCTAATCAGATGACTGGTTTGAAATCGCCAGGTAGTAATGTTGTTTTTAATGTTCATATAAAAAACAACAACAACAGTAACACAATTATACGGAAAGTCGTGACCCTATAGCTTGGTAATAAGCAGATCAGCAGAGAATACTAAAGAAGACTAATGATTTGGTATGCATTGGGCAGCATTTTAAGTATACTTTCAACTGTAATCAATCTGGTGTGCCCAATTTTGCCCAACTTCGAGCTATTGACCTTGGAAATAGTGCTAACTTTGGATCAAAACCTGGAATATCTTAAGAAATATTGAAGATAGGGACTTGCTTCCCAAGAAAAAAATGGCGGATTCTAAAAAAAAAACAAACATTTGTTGTGTAGAAGATTGACAGATAAAATGAGGGATTCGTGGATTTTCCTATGTTTCGAGGGGTGCATCGATTAGCTTGGGACCGAAGATAGTACCAGAGCTGAGCTCGTTTCTTCGGGACCTTCTGGTCTTAGAGTTACCTCTATGGTAAAATCCCTAAGGTGTTGGAGAACAAGTTGGCTTTGAAGAAACAGTGGATAAAAGTATCAAAAGAAGTCGGCCCGAAACCTTATGAGTAGTGTCAATTTCCTTGAATTCCTGCAAATTTCCTATTAATTGTCTTTAAATTTTGCAACGATTTTTTGAAAAATATTACGAATTAGATTCCTTCCATATTTCCTTGCAGCTCTCCTCAAAATTTCTCTCTGATCAATTAAGGAGAGGCTCTCATTGAAAATTTAAAAAAAATAATCGATTTTTGTTATTGAATTTTTAGAAAGGTAATATTGTGTTGAAAGGGTTTTTCGATCCGCGCACAAGAAAAGTTTCTACAGGCCATTGTTCGAAGCGGCGTCCCGGTCGGCATGGGACTGTTGTTAAAACTTTAAACGCGTTTATCTCGAAACATGATTTTTCAAAACTGCGTACAATCTCATTTGAAAACGGTTCAACTTAACGACTTCTACGATCCTGAGGTACCAGGCTGTACGCAGTTCGACAATTCCAAGCGTACACTACCTTACTCAAAACGTGACCACGGTCGCCAAATTTGGAAATAAAGACGAAGTTCAAAGCTTTTTGAATTTCAAAACCGCGTCCTTCTATGTTTGTTCATTGGCCCACAAAATAGCAAATCGATTTAAAAAAATTATACCCGATAAAATAATGGGTTGGGACATTTTTTTTTGCGAAAAAAATTTCAGACTCCTAAAACCCCTTCAAATCTTAATTAGAGCCGTATTTACGGAAATAAATCGATTTAAAGATTTGACACCTAAAAACTCTAAAAATCTTGATTAAAGCCGTATTTACGGAGATAAATCGATTTAAAGATTTTTATACCCGCCAGCCTGAAAATGATGGGTTGGGACATTTTTTCGTGGAAAAAATTTCTGACTCCTAGAAACCTTCCAAATCTCGATTAGAGCCGTATTTACGGAGATAAATCGATTTAAAGATTTTTGACACCTAAAAACCCTCCAAATCTCGATTAGAGCCGTATTTATGGTGATAAATCGATTTAAAGATTTTTATATCCGCTAGGCTGAAAATAATGGGTTGGGACATTTTTTTACGAAAAACAATTTCTGACACCTAAAAACCCTCCAAATCTCGATTAGAGCCGTATTTACGGAGATAAATCGATTTAAAGATTTTTATACCCGCCAGTCTGAAAATGATGGGTTGGGACATTTTTTTTGCGGAAAAAATTCAGACTCCTAAAATCCCTCCCGACGGCCTGACATTTTTTTTTTTTGAAAATCGAAATACTTGTTTGTTGGCCATTTGAATGAGAACCTCCCCTTAATCGATCTACATTTTATAAATTTTTAGCCGCAGGTTTCGAGATTGTAGTAATTTCATTATTAACAGTCATAATACCGATCCTGCAAAATGCGTGGCGATGATGTGAACAAACTTGCTTTTCGACAACGGGACAATCTTGATGTCACAGTATCGACACGCATCTAGCAAGTTCGGTATTATGACAGTTAAGTTTGCCTTACGATTAATTCACTTTGAATTGAATCCTCTTAATGCTTGAAATTCCTTCCGATTTGCTTTACAGCTCCCCAGAGTTCTACTCATAATTCCTAACATCTCTACAGAACTACCTTAGAAATCACCTCTAGTTCTACTTACTATTTACTTTAAATATTTTTCAAAATTACCTGAAATTTCTAGCCAAATTCCATTGAAAATTCCCACAGAAATCCAACTCATTTGGCATTCTCATCTTAATTCTCTAGCCAATACGTTGAAGTTTCAGAATCCTAAAATGTTGTCGTAGTCCAAGAGCTCTTTCTTTTTGACGTAGGACTACGTCTATAATTTCTTTAAAAAATATCCCAATCACGGACGTAACGACAAAGCGCAAATCGAACACATGAGCGAGCTCAATATTGGGTTGACCGCTCACCATTTCACCAATCAAAGGAAGGGAGGAGAAAAGCAGCGGTAATAAAAATGCTTGCCAAATCGTTTTCTTCGTCATTTACTTTCGAGAAACGGACGGATAAAGGTACGATTTGTTGGTCTGATTCGAGCGGACTGCTCGATAATTTTGTCGGATGTAATGTTCGGATGCGTTTACACGTTTTCGACATGATGATAAGATTTGACGTTTGATTTGTCGAACGAAGCTGGTTTGTGTTTAATTTTCATTAGACTCATTCAGCAAAATAGCCGTAAGAGAGGTGAAAATATTAATTTTTTGGCGTAGGACTACGTCTGTGATTTCTATATGGGGGTACACTTTGTGAAACCGAAAATGGAACATGTAACAAAATTATGAAAGATTTTGAACGCTAATACTCAGCTGCCTCATGACTAATTTAAATAATTTTATCACCAATCGATCAGATATATTTCGACGCATCTTTAAGACTATCGTTTTTTCAAAATGTCACTGTTGAAAATTTTCCCGAATGGGCAACTGTTCCTTTGATATTTAAAATTATTACCGATTGTCTGCGAAAAGCGATTTCCCTAACACAGAATTCAAAGTTGAATTCCATCCGGTGTCAACAAACGGTGTTTATTTAATCACCACGTGGTGAGGGGTGGTGTTCTCCAGTACACAACGAAAGGCTGCATGCAAGCAGCGAGCTGTAGCCCACATGAGCATCCATAGAAGGAGGAAGAGCACCGCTATTGATCGGATTCAGTAGCTCTTCGTGAGTTGCTGTGGGCCATCTATGTCTAGCACGTCATACTAAAGAGCTACATAAAGCTCCTGCTGCAGTTAACAAATAAAATTTATTATATAAGACCATGTAGTCCTACGTCACCATTGCGTACAATTCCATAGGGCTGTCCCTTGTAGTTTTTTTTTTCTAAAATTTCACGGATTTGAACGGCTAAAGAATGCTTGATTTGTGTTTTGAAGATATTCGGCATGATGACAGTAAACCGATTTCCTAGCTGATTTCACTATTTAATATTGTCCTGTGTTGATTTGACTGATTTTTATTTTCCAGTGTGATTGACAGAAAGATGTCGTAATGGCTTTGATCATGGCATGGTCAACAAAACAGTGTTTATATAATACGTAGCATGTATTATATAAGAATAAGTATGCCAAACAGAAGGCTGAGAGCCTACTAAGAATGTTTTAGAGCTTCAGAGAGGTTCGGAGATCTACGGAGACATTTTTTGAGCTTCAGGATAGTTCGTAGATCTTGAGAACAGAACTACAAAACTTCCGAAAACTCTACAGAAATTAAATGAAATTGTCGGAAATTCAGAA